TACTTGAATTATTGGCAAATGCCTGATTTACTAATTGATAATCTTTAAAATGCATAGTTTTACATTAAATTGTATTTCATGAGCTGTATAAACATTTTACTCTAATTTTGGAAGGGGAACTATTTTTCCATAAATAGCACTAAAAACCGGTATGTATTATATGATTGAATAAATGTTATTGTTTTTTTCTATCACGTATTATCGTAATGAATATAATTTAATTAAAAGGTGTGGATTATATCATTGTAGATCTTACATGTATGAAAACAAATTTGTAATGTCATTACTATTTACCTTGTTTGATGTCTTTGAAAGACAACGTAATGATTTAATGGTACATGTACATCTTTTATGCCCATAAAAAGTTTTTAAGATGCACACATAATAATGATGAAAATCCGTTAATTAGTAGCAAACTAGTGAATTATTTTCTTTATTTTGTTTTATATACCTGCATGTGCAAATATGTTAGAAATTGCATGTATATTGAATTATGATATACGATTGTCATAGATAATAAGCATAATATCTTACATAAATCGTTTTTAACCATCAGTACGAGTGTTTTGGTAATCTGTAAGACTCATTTTAAAGAATTTTAGCAGTAAGTAGAACAATAAGATTACAATTAAACGATTCATTACTATCACAGGTTTTACTTATTTCATAATAATTTTTGTATATATAGAGGATATAAATTTGTTTTGCATGTAAGATTGAAATATATTCATTTAGTTATGATATTCTTTTCATTCAGGCATTAAGAGATAGTCTGGCTTCAGTGAAAATTATATTTTATAAATTTCGCTAGTGGTTTATCAGAATATATTCATCTGATATATATCAGTAAAACACTGGAAAGCATGAAATAAATCTATATCTTTAATCATTCACAGCTACATATTACAATAAATCCGAATAATAAAATGTTACAATCTCTGGTCATTGTGTCTCAATCTATATTTAGATAGGGAAAATCCGATATACCCATTGAATATGATACTTCACCAAGCGTATATGGTTTAATTATAAATAATTATGTTTACTACTGTTTGGACCAATGCTAGATCTATTACAATTTAGTGCATGTGAAAAACAACCATATCAATAAACGTTTAAAAGTTTGTCAAATCTTACGTGTCATTTGGAGGTTTAAAATTTTTGATTGAATTAAAGAATAACATTTCCGGATCTTTTCTTTAAATTTAAAAAAATTTTTTATGTTAATGCTGCTTTAAAAGGTCTGGGGAGGGGACCGTAATTTTTTAAATTTTTCCCGTACCCTCCAAAAAACCTCAAAACAAACAAAACCCGTTAATTTTTAAACGTTTTTAAAAAAAACTTTTTTTGGGTTCCGTTTTGTTTAAAATTTAATTTAAACATTTAAAAGGGAAAAAAATTATGTCATAAGTCACCCGTTTTTGTCTCAAAGGGTACCACTGGAGATGAAGTTTAGATTTAGAACCCTCTTAAAAGCCTTGAAAAAAGGGTTAAAAGAGGGTTTAAAAGTAAACCCAAAAAAGGTTAAAACAATGGATTTAAACCCGAAATTTCGGAGCTTCAAAAATTACATGAGGGTTAAACACCGTGTGTGTTATAATGTCTTAAGTACCCTCTAAAAGGCATACACATATTGGTAATACAAGCTTTACTGTCTACACTGCTGCTATCCTCGTGTGTTTTATTGCAAAAAGAACACTCTTCAAAAGCTATCATATTGGTTTGTGTAACCTTTACTGTTTTTTTCGAGGCTATCAGCGTGTGTAGTTTTGCGATATAAATTATATAAAAGGCATTTTACCGAGGGTTGTGTGATATTTTATCTATTCCCTCAAGCTATCACCGTGGGTTTTATTGTGATACGAACATTCTACAAGGCTTATCGCCGTTTGTTTTGTGAGCTTTAAAGTATTCGCTAAGGATATCACAGTGCGTTTTATTGCAGTAATGTCCCTCTGAAAGGCCTATCATCGTGTATAAATTTTGAGTTCTTCTTACGCCTGTGCTAAGGAGCGTCGACGGTAACTTGCACTTTTCAGTACGCCTTTGGACAGACTCAATCAAACCTAGCCTGCAACATTTTACATTTTACCGTGTTGGGCTTTATTTAAGCATGTTTGCTTTCCTCTATTTTTTTGAGTTAGCTTAACTGTATGTTCTGGGACTAGACTATCATTGATGGTTTGACAAATATATAATATTTCTAAAATATCTTATCACCATGGGTTGTATGAGCTCTACAATATTTTCTGAGGCTATCACCGTGTGTTCTTTTCCGATTAAATTTCCTAAAATGTCCCATCACCGTGGGTTGTGTGAGCTTTACTGTCTGCTATCACTGTGTGATTGATTGCGATAAAAACTATCTAAAAGACATTTTAGCATGAATGTTGTGTTTCATGAGGCTTTCACCGTGGGTTTCCTTGCAATAAGAACCATACTTAAGGCCCACCATCGTGGATTCTGTGAGCCTTATAATATTCACCGAGGGTTCCATTGCGAAAAGAAGTATATAAGAGGTCCATAATCGTAAGTTCTGAGAGCTTTACTGTATTCCATGAAGCAATTAACGTGAGTTTCATTGTAATTAGATCCCTCTATAAGGTGCATCACCATTGATTGTGTGAGCCTTACTGTATTCCTTGAGGCTTTCACCGTGGGTTTAAATGCGACCATAACGCTTTTAAAGGGCTATAACTATGAGTAGATTGAGCTTAGCTGTATATATTGAAGCTATCATCGTTGGTTTATAAATAACTGCTATTCGAACCCTCTAAGAAGCCTATCACTGTTGGTTTTGTGAGATTAACAGTATTCGTTGAGGCTGTAACCTTGTGTTTGATTGCGATCTACAAGGTCTTTCACACTGGGTTTTGTCAAAGCTGTACCCTATTTCCTCAGGATATCACCGCTGTTTTTTTGCAATAAGAACTCTCTTAAAGACCTATCACCATGGGTTGTTTGAGCTTTTCTGCATATCTGTAATCTATCACCACGGGTTTCATTATGATAAGAACCCTCTGAAAAGTCTATCACCGTGGATTTTATTAGATAACCAATATTGTTTGAGACTATCACCTTGTGTTTGATTGAAATAAAAAACAACCGTGAGATTCATGCAGATGAGAAGCTATAAAAGGCTTAACGCCGTTTATTGTGAGAGCTTTACTGTGTTTGCATTGACTATCACCGCAGGTTTCATTACGATAGGAACCCTATAAAGGCTTATCTTCTTAGTTTGTGAGAGTTATCTCCCTTCACGGTGGCTATCGCTGTGGGTTTATTCCCGATCACCGTTGGTTTAGTGAGCTTTAAAGTATTTAATTAGGTAATCACCGTGTGTTACAATGTCATAAGTACCCTCTTAAAGGCATACAAATATGGGTAATGTGAGCTTTACTGTATTCCTCGGGGCTATCAGCGTTGGTTTCATAGCGATACGGACCCTATTATTGGCATGCCACCTTTTGATATTTGAGTTTACAGTATTTCCTGAGGCTATCACCGCGGGTTTCATTGCGAAAGAACGCTCTAAAAATAAACTTTCACAGTAGGTCATATGAGCTATACCATAAATTCTGTGGCTATTACCGTGGGTTTTATTACGTCAAGAACCCTCTAAAAGGCTTAGTACCATTGGGTGTGTGAGTTTTTCTTTGTTCAATGAGGCTAGTAACATGTGTTACATTGCGGTGAAAACGATCTAAAAGGACTATCACAGTTGTTTGTTTTAGGTTTTCTGTACTCCATCGGGCTATTCTTGCGGGTTTCATTGCGTTAAGACCCCTCTAAAAGCGTATCACATTGGGTTGTGTGAGCTTGTCTGTATTCCTTGAAGCTAACCCCGTGTGTTTCATTGTGGAATGTACTCTTTATAAAGCTTGTCATCGTTGGTTGCATTGACTTTATCTTATTTTCTAACGATATCACCGAGTGAATTTTTGCAAATAAAACCGCTTAAAGACCTATTACCATGGGTTGTGCGAGCCCTACAGTATTCGCTGAAGCTATCACCGTGCATGTTATTGCGGTAAGAACCCTCTAAAAGGCTATCACTGCGGGTTGTGTCTGCCTAACTGTATTCTCCGTGCCTATCGGCGTGGGTTTAATTGCGATGAAAACACCCTTAAATGCTTATGTTGTTGGTTATAAGAGTATATTCCCTGAGGCTATCATCGTGGGTTTTCTTGCGATTGGAAACATCTTAAAGGCCTATCACCGAAGGTTTAATAAGCTTAAATATATTCCCTGAGTCTATCGCCGTTGTTTGACTTATTAAATAAAAACCCTCTTACAGGCATATCATCGTGAGTTGTGTGAGCTTAGGCTTTCAACGTAGGTTAACTTGAGAAAATAACCCTCTAAAAGGCTTATCGCCGTGGGTTATGCTAGATTTACTGTATTTTTTGAGGTTATATCAGTTGATTTATCTAGATAAAAACCCTTATAAAGGCCGATCGCCGTGTTTCATCCTTTCCTTTTTATTCGTAAATATATATTTTATTTTCAGTTTTATACAAGAATATACAAAAATAACATTTTAATCAAGAAGCTGCAAGAGTTTATCCCATTATGTGTCATTATGTTAATTTGATATTTTAATTTATTTAATAAGTTTAGGTAATTTATATTTTTGTTAAAAATTGTTTGATATTAACCATGGATGATTTATATAATAAGTTGTAACACAAAATAGTGTTAACCAAATGAAAAATTTGATCGATCAGAAAACACATTGCTTTCAAATTTGCTACGATCTTTAAAATGTTTAAAGTTGCATAGTTAATAGAAACAAGTGCATACTCATATCACTTTAAGCATTAAAATATGTATTTTATTTATGGTGTAAAAATACTGTCTTCAGTTTCACTTGCGGAAATGCATCAATAGTAAAATCAAACGTTATTCAATAGTAAACCAAATTATTTAAACTACTAAAGGATTCATATGTCACAAACGTCTTCGTCTATATTAGCAGTTAGTTAAAATCTAGTGTTAACATAAACATCTTCTGGTGGTGATATCTGCTGATTTGTAGAGATCTGACTGTATGCTATCTCGTCACGTGAATTAAAATCTTCATATGCAACAGGAGAGCCGTCTTCATGTGTGATATCTTTATGAAATATAAAGAATTCTGAATTGTAATATCCATTTAACGCCCTTATAATAAAGCACACAATAAATTCATAAAAGGCACTACGTATTATGGTATTATTTCTATGTAGCAATTAAACTAATATTACATTTGACTAAGTTATTTAGAAGCACGACGTTTATGATGCTATCTCATGGAATAATTCTTAATTGTGTATACAGAAGTATAGAACATTATGTCTCAGTTATCTTGCTGAGATTCAGTTTTTATTTAAATATGAATGTATAGCAAAAAATGTGCCAACGATAAGTACTTTTTTAGTACTACTTTTCGAACGATATTTACCAGCAGCTTAAGTATTTTCTGTTTGTTTATTTCCAAACCTAAAAAAAAATAAAAGGAAAACAATTGGTAAACAATATTAAAAATGGTAATATTGCAAATTACAACAAATAACAGAAATGTGCCGGCAACTTCGCTTTTAAATCAGAATACAACGGAAAATATAATAAATTCAAATATTGTCATATCAAGATGAATTAAAAGCTTCAAACCTCCGCCTCCATGTTATGAAGGCAAATAAAGCTGCAACTGCAACAACACCACCAGCTAGAAATGAACCAAATATAGAACCTATAAGGGTGCCTTTGCTGTAGCATTCTCGCTCAAGAATTATTGCTAGAATAATATACATAATTAAAAATTAAAAATTGCTATTAACATTAAGACAAAAGTAATTGCTTTAACACAAAACATTCAGTTGATATCATAGAAAGTTTGGCTAAAGCGATAACTTTAATATGGAGAGCATGTGAAAAAGTTGAAGCCGTAATTTTATTGACAACAATAAACGCTGTAAACTTGCAAACGCTTGTTTCCATTGCATAAACTACTGAAAATAAGAATATTTGCTGCATTCGTATTTGTAAATTTACCTTCAAGACAGTTCGGCCCTTTAAATCCGTGTATACATCCGTACAAGCATTCCCCTGTTATTTTGTTGCAGGTAGTATTCACACATAGGGTGGTGCATTTGTTTTTACATTTATTGCCATAGATACCATCTCTGCAACCCAGTAAACAGCGTCCATTTATTTCATCACATACACGTTTGTCGTTACCGGGTAAACACGAAAAAGGACATAAAGTATCGCAAAACGATCCATAATAATTCATCACGCAACCTTCCAAACACTGCCCCGTTTTCCAGTCGCAGCTTCTATTGTTGCAAGTATCACTACATTGCTTCTCACAATAATCCCCGTAATTTGAAACGGATTTGCATCCATGTAAACAGGCTCCTGTATGTCTTGCACAATATGTACAGTTTGTGTCCGAAAAACATGTCAAACAGTTATCTGTGCAATTTAAATCACAAAAGGTTCCGTATAAACCAAACGAGCACATGTCACATTTACTACCGACAAAACCAAGTTTGCATCCTTTTTGACAGTATCCATTTCCTTTATTACATCTTCCATCGAAACAACCAACCGGACATCTGTACTGACAATATGATCCGTAATAAGCAGTGTTTATACACCATGAACATTCTGTACCTAATATACAGGACCCACAGTTAATAGGACACGCATTATTACATTCCTCACCATACATATTTCCCAAACAAGTATCACATTTACCTGTTGCAAATTTAGCCGATTTACAAGAACATTCTCCAGATGAAACTGAGCATGTATTGTTAACACAACCTTTTCCACATAGTAAGTTACATTTGTTGGTATAATAACCAGGTCGGCACTCTGTGCATTCATAACCATTTACACAGCTTTTGCAATTTTGTATACACTCATTTGTGCATCTCTCGCCAAAATATCCGGCAATACATCCGTCAACACAATCATAATTTGAATCACAGAACTGATGTCCATCACTGCAGCATACACATTCTTGACATGTTGGCATCGAAAATCCTTAAAAGACAACATTGACTTGATTAACTATAAACCAAATGATATCAACAAATCTTTTCTAACTATATATTTAACCATATTTTACAACTTTTCATATTTTATCATGAATGCTTTGCTGAAAAAGAAATGATTATGTTCATATATGTTTTAATTCTTATCTGCTTTGCATATGATGTTATCTTACCAGTTTGGAGTACAGTAAACAAAAACACCCAGAAAAGTCCTGCCATTGCGTTTTCAAAGGAATCTGCAAACAAATAAATTGAAAAGAAATGGATATGTATTTTTGTGGAATGTTCTTTTGCCAGTTCTCTCAAATATTTCTTTAAAGAAGAAAAGCATTTTTCAAAGTTAAAAGCATGAATCACTTCAACATTAACTCCAAAAAATTAAAAAATATATCAGTCACAAGCAATAACAAGCGTTAAAATGGTAAAAGAAAACTTTGAGCATGTTAATTTTGTAAGAATATGTTCTGCAAAACTGCAGTTTGAAATGATTTTAATAGAGCTGATCATTTCAATTTGTGTTTTACCTTTCTCTGGCGCAAGATTTGTAGCAACTGTCAAACCCCATAAGTAGTGAAATTGTATTTAAAAAAAAACTTATATTAATTACATAAGAATATTGTATATTTCATAATATTATACAATTAAAGGCATAACCAATTCAATACAAACTAAATAAACAACGTATACAGGATAAAAAGAAAAGAAACATCAAGTTTCTTTTTAATATAATGGTAATGATTTTAATAATAATAATCTAAATGGTATTGATTAAATTTTTTGATAAATTACTGATTCAACAAATATATGCACAGTGTGAATGTATAAACATATATTTTAATTACAAATATTATGTATTTTTAATTCATATTCACACGTCTTGACGAGTTAAAATATATTGAACTTAACAAGTCATTAAGAATATTTATAATCGATTTTACTTGATGCATATTAGCTAGTGTAAATGGCGGAAAATCCTGCTTAGTGAAGAGATATTATAGCGGTTTATAAACTTACCTCGCAAATGCACTTTATTGTCCATACACATCCATTTATACGGCAAAAATATGCTAAAAAGAATTTTTCTTGCACATATATAATGTATGTCTAATAATCTACCTTACAATGTTTCGAATGATAAAAAGTACCTGTAAAATAAATCTGTGGTCCTAATTATACAGTACCAGGTAGCTGGGGATTTTAATGAAAAACACATACTTCCTTTAAGTTTAAAAAATGTATCACTTCAACATTAAATCCAAAAATTTAATAATATATCACTTACTAGCAAAGACAAGTGCAATGGAAAACTTTGATCATGTTAATTTTGTAGGAAATGTTCTGCAAAACTGCAGTTTTGAATGATTTAATCATTACGCACGATTCTGAATAAACAAGAGCAAATAGAGGGCTGATTATTTCAATTCGTGTTTTCCTTTCTCTGGCACAAGATTTTTAGCAACCGTCAAACCCCATAAGGAGTGAAATTGTATTTAAAAAAATATTTATTACATAAAAATATTGTATATTACATAATATTATACAATTAAAGGCATAAGCAATTCAATACAAACTAATTAAACAACGTATACAGGATAAAAAGAAAAGAAACTTCAAGTTTCTTTTTAATATAATGGTAATGATTTTAATAATAATAATCTAAATGGTACTGATTAAAATGTTTGATTAATTACGGATTCAACAAATATATGCACAGTGTGAATGTATAAACATATAATTTAATTACAAATAGTATGTATTTTTAATTCATATTCACACGTCTTGATGCATCAATGCTTTCTATAATAGCTAGTGTAAATGGCGGAAAATCCTGCTAAGTGAAGAGATATTATTATAATAGCGGTTTATAAACTTACCTCGCAAATGCACTTTATTGTCCATACACATCCATTTATACGGCAAAAATTTGCTAATAAAGAATTTTTCTTGCACATTTATAATGTATATCTAATAATCTACCTTACAATGTTTCGAATGATAAAAAGTACCTGTTAAATAAATCTGTGATCCGAGAACAGATATTTACAGTCCTAATTATAGAATACCAGGTAGCTGGGGATTTTAGTGAAAAACACATACTTCCTTTTACATTCGTATATGAATCATACCGTCATGCCATCCTCTGCTGTCTAAATATATAATTAAATTATCAATTCTTTACGTTTTAACTGTAAAAGTACGAACATTATAGATATCGTTAAATGTTTCATTTAGGAACCATAATAGTCCGTTTTTTATTCAATGTTGCCAAGGAAAGTTCTGTTTTTTTTTATTCTAATGTTTACAAATTCTACTCTCGTTAAAAGTAAATTTTTGTGTTCTTAGATATATTTTGTCAATTTTCGTGGGAAAGTTAAGTGGTCATGACTTGATAATGTGTAACTCGAACAATATTATTCGCACATCGATTTGCCATCGATACTTATTTTTACACTTCTTAATTGCAAATGCTTCATTTCTTGCTATATAACATTCAAAATTAATCTTTTCTTCTTTCGCTGTAATTCTCATATGGCGCTTTTTAACTTTACTGGTGGAGGAAAGCTTAAGATGCCCATCCGCGCATTATTTCCCACACAAACTGGCATCTGTGTATAACCACCGATGTTCCGTTAGCTAGTTTGATAGCTTCCTCACATGAAACAAAATGCAAAATACCTGGAGGAATACGGAACAACAACCACGAAGGGCAAGTGATTTGATATCAATGACACTAACCACTCGGCAACGGACGCCCCATCCAAAATTAAACATGAAATGCTTAGTTTTGTGGACATTACAGTTGCTTGATTGTATATATTAATTCACTACTCTATAAATCTAAATTATCTCGAATTTCACTTACAAATATTTTTAAAATGGTTGAAAGCAATGCAATAAGGAAATTGTAGTAAA